GACTGCCAAATTAAGCGATAGTTAAAATAGTTACACATATACATTAAAAGAAACCGGCATACAACACATTTTAATATCAGCAATAGCAAAGTCGCCAAAAATGATTTTAGAAATTCCCAACATGAATACTGCAAATAATAATGTCCCATATATTACCTTTAATCTTTCGTTTAATAATTTGAAACTCTTTATCGCTAATATTGCTTTGACATACTGGTTCCAACAAACTGTGAAGAGACAAGTTATGATTGTCTCTCTTAGCCATATTCTTTTTTCATTTTTCAGATAAATCCGAGAGTCGATACAAGTAATCATACGCTTGTATAACACATCAATGTACGTTATAAACCTATATATATATATATATATATATATAGAGAGAGAGAGAGAGAGAGAGAGAGAGAGATTGTGTCACGTGTGCGTGTTAGATATATTTGTATCAATTGGAATCCCTCATAAAAATTCTAAGAAATTAAGTATTCTGTTTCGTACAATACGAGGGCAGATCAAAATGTTCTTGGTCCGATGTACTCCCGATAGTCAGGGAACCCAACTAATGATCTTACTTTTCAATATAATCGTCCTCTACTTCAATGCACTTTGCCCACCTGTGCTCCAACTTGTTTAACCCTTCAAAATAGAACTCTCTTTTTTGGTTCTCAAAGAACTCATCGACCGCCTCCATGACACCTTCATTGCTTCCAAAACGTTAACCACGAAGCTTGGTTTTCAGTTTTGGAAACAGGTAGAAGTCAGAAGAGGCCAAGTCCGGAGAATATGGGGGATGGGGAAGAATTTCAAAGCCGCAGTCAGTTGCAGCAGCCATCTCAACTTGGGATGTGTGAGCTGGCGCATTGTCGTGTAGGAGCAGAACGCCTTGAGTCCGTTTGCCCCTCCTTTTACACGAGATTTCTTGACGCAGACGTTTCAATTCGTCTGCATAGTATGTACATGGTACGTTCATGGTATGACCTTGCTCAAGATCGTCAATCATGATTATCCCCCGACTATCCCAAAAAAATCATAATCTTCCCTGCTGATGGCACCCTCTTGAATTTCTTCGGATTGGGTAAGCCAGGGTGCTTCAACTGCTCTGCTCTGTTTTTTGGATTCTGGATCGAAGTGATGGACCCATGTTTCATCCTGAGTTACGATCCGGTAGATAAAATCAGGTTCATCCTCGTAGCGAGACAAAAGATATCTTGAAATGTCAAGCCTGGTCCGTTTCTGGTCATCAGTCATTACTGTCTGGGGACCCATCTAGTAGAAACCTTTGACATGCCATAGACATCAGTCAGAATTGCCTGAACTGAACCAAGCTTATACCCACTTCCCTAGCAATGCTTCGCAGGTCTTACATTCTGTCGTACATGACCAGATCGTACACAGCTTTGGCAATTTTATATATTTGGTGGCCTCTTTTGGCCGCTCATCATCTTCAATGCTCTCCCTGCCCCTCTTAAATTCAGCAGCCCATTTTTTCACAGTGCTATAGGAAGGGGACAACTTCCCAAGTGTATCCATGAAGTATTCGTGGATTTCCTTGTGGGACATCACTTTCTTACAGAGGTACTTAATGACGGCTCAGATTTCAACTGTCTCCATTTGGTCTAAATGACACACTCCTCTACTGATCAAAGTGTGTTTAGTATAACCCGGGCAGTAATCTTTAATAAAATATTGGTATCGACGTATCGTTTGTAAATGTCAGTGTAGTGGCTAGAAGTTTATAGGGCCGAGAACTTTTTGATCATACCTCGTATGTTTAATTATAACATATAAAAGACTTCACGCTAGGAACAGCGCTAAACTTGTCGCTAGTAATACGTTCATTACAACTTCAAGATAAAATATACATGTATTTTAATTATCTATAACGAAATAATGGAATTTGACGGCTGTCATATCAGTCAGTATATCTACATATTTATCAACAACGAAAATAATGTAATGTACATGCTATATATTTATAGATGAAGGGGGACTTCCCTAGATAAATTATTGACATAATTTCATTTTCAATGTAATAAGAACAAGATATGTTTGTAAAACATGTATGCCCCCTATCGGCAGCCAATTAGTCATATGATCAGGTTATTATGCATGACTTCTGACCCAGTGAACAAACAATTAATAAGGGTTATCTAGTATCTACAGGTCATGACTAGTCACAAGGTAATAATTATTGTGACCCCATAGGTTGTGTGCAGCAATTTAAGTTATTACAAATCTTACAAATAATATATGCATAAATTTTATGAATCATGTATGCCTCATTAATGACAGCCAAGTTGTTATATTACATAAGACCTTCAAATGTGTATACAAAAGCATTTTTATTTTAATATAAAAATATCAACCAAGGCAACTTGAGTTGTTGAGTTATTGGTCACAAACCGTCATTAAGTACAAGGTCAATATGACATTGACCCTTTGACCCCAAAATCAATAGGGGTCATCTACTGGTCATGACCAATCATCATAACAAGTTTGAAGTTCCTAGGCTTATGCATTCTTTAGTTATTGAGCAGAAATCGTTTTTACCTACAAGGTCAACGTGACCTTGACCTTTGACCCTTGATCCAAAAATCAATAGGGGTCCTCTGCTGGTCATGACCAAACATCATACTAAGTTTGAAGTTTCTGGGCCTAAGCGTTCTTAAGTTATTGATTGGAAACTGTTTTCACCTACAAGGTCAATGTGACCCTGACATTTGACCCCTAAATCAAAAAGGTCATTTGCTGGTCATGACCAATCATCATACCAAGTTTGAGGTTCCTAGGCCTAAAGGTTCTTTAGTTATTGATCGGAAACCGTTTTTACCTACAAGCCCAATGTGACCTTGACCTTTGACCCCTTGACCCCAAAATCAATAGGGTTTGTCTGCTGGTCATGACCAATGATCATACTAAGTTTGAAGTTCCTAGGCCTAAGCATTCTTTAGTTATTGATCGGAAACCGTTTTTACCTACAAGCCCAATGTGACCTTGACCTTTGACCCTTGACCCCAAAATCAATAGGGGTTGTCTGCTGGTCATGACTAATCACCATACCAAGTTTGAAGTTCCTAGGCCTAAGCGTTCTTTAGTTATCACTCGGAAACCATTTGGTCTACGGACCGACGGACCGACAAGTGCAAAGCAATATACCCCCTCTTCTTTGAAGTGGGGGCATAATAATAGTAATAACTAGAACTATCGCTGAAGGCGAGTCCTACTCCAACCGAGGCTCTTGACAGAAATTGGCAAAAAGTACATAATTTAATAAATTGCCTTGTATGGTAAAAGTGAACGGTGTACAAATGAGAATATAAGTATTGTTGGTTTTTTTATTATAATTCTATTTGATTAAAACATATTTGTTCAAATTCATACGTGTATGCATAGTGTTCAGCTAAGTCATTTTTGTTATTTCATAACAGTCGACTGTTTACCTGTTGATTTTCTCAAATTGAGTTCTTCAGGTTCCACTTTTTGAACTATCTGATATCAAGTTTGTGTATATCGAGATAAAACACGAGCGATCATTGATAACATGTAGCGCATCATGATAACGAACTGCATGTTGACGCGACTGTGTAGCAGAAGAAACAAAAATCATTATTGACAGGGTATAACGCGTTTGTTATTCATGAGCCATAACTCAGCCCAAAATCATTAGTATTGATAATTTCTGTGTGGTTGAAATTGCACCACCAGCTTTCTGAGAAGTTGTACATAAAGCTTCTGCGTAGCTGGCAATACAAAAACACCTCTTTATTCAAGGACCATAACTCGGCCAAATATTATTAAGGCAAACAGACGGACAAAAAGATGACGGGTAGGGTATCTCGATATGTCGCCACTTCTTTGTAGAGGCGACAGTAAAGGTAGTCAGCCAAAAATATAGAGCTTGGTCAGACTGCACCGACACGTTTGTCTGCCTGGCTCTATTTTAGTGGCAAAGACTGATCACTTTCAGATCCAGATAATTTAGGATGAAAGTTAAAATGACGCTAACATCCGTGCTTCATGGGTGGTGTTTTTGAGAATATATATATGTATATATTGTTTATATTTCAAGCACTAAAATTATCAAACGATTTATTAAAAGAGGTTATGACCCAATTATTTTAAGGCATACCGCATGCTTGGTGTTACGCTTTCCTCTTTTAATTACATCTGACGGACTTAGTGGGAGACTCTATGATGGACAGTTGTTAAAGCCCTTTGGGACTGAATTATCTTAATGTTCGTCTTCTGTCTTGCTTCGTCGGGCCCTTTTATGTGATTCTCTTGTTGCTCTGCCATCCTTTAAGGCATCGAGTACTTTGGTAATGGTCATTAGGCTGTACCTTTTTCTACATATTTACATAATTTTTACGTGTTTTATCTATTTCGTCTAGATCTAATGTAACCATGACCATTGTTCAGGAACATATTGGGGCTAAGAGTGAGGTTTGGCGCGCCTAAAACCGGTTCAAACTCCCAAGTGGTTTAACTACCACTGACCGTTCCAAGGCGGTACCCCTCTGTGTTCATTTACTGTTTTTCATGTCTGTATTGTTACTTGTTTTTGAATGTTTACATGTTTTGTGATGTCTGCGTTGTTGGATTGTTGTTTACGGTAGGCATTTCTCACACCCCTCCTATTTCTTGACACCCTCCCCTTTTCACCCTTATAGCCCTTATCCCTGTAATTCCCATATGGACCCGTTTTAGTTTCAGTTTATATCATTTCACACATTACATGCCCCTCTCCTTTCACCGCGCCCTTATCTCCACTCCAGGTTTTGGTTTGGTGCCTTCTGGGTGCCCTACTTGGGTGTGTCGGGGGCTGCGTCCTGTGAACGTTGCCTTCTGAACACTGGTTCTTGTTGCTGGGTCATATGGGGGTTACGTTCATTGAACGCCGCCTTTCCTTGTTGATCTTGCTTATCATAGTTTTGCCTTGTTGATCTTTATTCTTATTTTCTTATAACCTAAGACCAAAGAGCAAAAATTAAAACTGTCGATGATTTTCCTTAAATTTTAATAAATAATATGTTTCTTATGCAACGGAATTGCTTTTATTTCAAAATATTTTCATCTCAATGACATACCTAAAAATGATCAGATTTTATTGTAGATTCACTTTATTTAAACTGATACATTGATATAATAAGTTGAGACAATGCATACAAACGACCTTAAGATGTTAACTGGCATAAGGTTAAGACAACAGTTTAAGTCTTATTTAGTTTTTTTTACCACAGAACGGTTCTTTGATATGTGGATAAATTCTAACTATTTTGGAATGTAAGGACTGTTTTTCAAGTTCAATATGATTTTGCAGCGGAATATAATGAGACGCCAGTTTTCCGTTCCGAGTTTTTACAAGAGTTTTCCATAAAGTAACAGACATCCCAGATTTTGTGTGTAACTTCAGCAGACGATCCGGTAAACATCCGATTTTCCCAAGTTGGTCAATCTGTTTTTGCATAAATTCTTCGGCACGATTTAAATCTTTAGTTCGCTCTTGAATGTCGTTGTATAAAGCTGAAATGCCTTTTAATCGACTTTCCTCTTCGGGCGTTTTGTCTTCCTGACCTGAAAATAATGCACATTATGAAAATGTATATACTGACAATATAGCAAAACGCGATACACATTAACAGTACTAGCTTAAATCTTATGCCCCTTTCACATGCTTCACGTATAAATGCACATAGAGAAACAGTGTTTCTAATATAACTAGATAAACAGAACGACTAGAATGACATCATATGAAATGTTCATTAAATTGATGGAATTTACTAAAAAAAATGCCAGAAGTCAAGCAGGTTTAGTAAACTGTTGACTTCTCGGTTTTAATTATCTGTACAATATTATACATGTACTTTGCTTATAAAGATAGCTTAAAACACATATGGATTTTATGTGGAAATCGACAGAAATATTTTTTATTAGTTATTAAATCATTAGGCAGAAAAAAAACAACAATCAAGTATACCTTTAATTAGGAATACTTGGTTTCTCGTCAGTATTGTTTCTATGTGAAGACTTTTCAATACCTCATCGCAAGAATTTTCACTCGTCCATTTTTCAAAAACATGAACGTACATCTCTGGCATCCCAAATGTTATTTTAAGGCCGTTATCATAAGGTTCTATCCCTATGATAAAGCTCTTTGCTAATGGTATCATTAGAAATGACGAAAAGTTTGCTTTAAAATCATATAGCATCGCCATGTCAAAAGTGCTGGCATTTTCCTTTTGCATAAATGTTGTGATATGTTCAAAGCCTCTCTCTGAAATTGAATAGGATTATAAGTCAATGGTAGAAGTTTAAACGCTCTTTATAGCCACTGAAATATTTTTATTTGTATAATTATATGGTAATTGCCCCTACCAAAATATAGTGGTGTTTGACCTGGTGAGATGGGACATCCCAATAATCCCTATCAATTCGCATTTCTTTCCTGTTGAGTGCACAAGCAAACGCTGCTCGATTACATCCGTGTGTTAAAGTATATATACGTATCCAAAAAAATTGAACATCTTTGTAAGTTTGTCATACCATTATAGATTTACTTTATATTTCTATTTCTCAAAGACTTGTTTTTATTTTTAGCGTCCTGTTGCTTCCAAGAATTACTCATTGGCCAATTGCCTGAACCATCTGTTGCTTCTGTATCTCTTGATAAGTAGTGCAATATGCAGAATTTACAGATAAATATACTGCCAAACTCGGACGTATTGTGATTATGGGTATCTAAATGCAGGCAAAATAAAATTCTGATATTGACCCCATAATCGGTCATGGGACACTCATATTTTTTTAAAGCAAAAATAAGTGAGAGGTAAGTTTTGGCTTTTAAACATTTACAAGGGGGAGAATCACGCCGTTCGTTACCAAAACAAACAAGATGGCGGATGCAGCCCATAAGTAAGTTTTTCCTTTTCTTTTCTGATATTCGTGATGTTCTACATATAATAACCTTCTCCACAATTTTCCTGGTACACATGATTTTATTTCATGATGTTTCGTCCCGTACTTCATCTGAAATGCGCGTCACCAGATTCGAACGAGCGAATTTTCCACCCGATTGATCATGGTAACGTACGGTTTCTTTTCTAAAAACCACTGTTTCTTTTATATATATGTATATTAACTGAAACCACTGACTTTAAAAAGTTGTAATATGTTTTCAAGTAAGCATCCATACCCATTCTGGCTAGATTTACCGCTGTAAATATTAATATCGGGGCATTTTCTGGAAATGATAACGTATGGCGCACAAAATATCAATGATAACCTACGGCGCATTTTTCTACTTGGTGAATTTCCATTTGTACAGTCAGCGGGTGAATTATTTGTATGTAGGAAATGATAGATATCATTCTAGCTGGTAGCATAATAGATATTCGCCGTTAATATACCAATTAAAACACATGTGTATAGTTTGAGAATATTTTGTACAAAATGAAGAATGGAAAGAAAAGCCCACTTTCAGGAAACATTTGTGTATTGTTGTCTTAACATTAAATTTCGCCAGTGCGATAACTGACCCCCTTATCAGAAAGAAGAAAGGCATTCAGCATAGCAAAAATGTTAAAAGATACGGACGGCTTGATATATTTTCTTTTCCAAAGGAAAAGTCTAAAATCATTCCTAACAAATTTTAAATAAGGAATTCTTAATATTTCAACCGCATCAAACATAAACAAAACGAAAAGTGATTGCGACAAGCTTGCATCCAGATGAGATTAGCCTGTGTTTATTCAATCTGGTCGCTCATTGAAAGAAAATACATAACAGAGAATAATGAATAAGTGTTTGTTCTATATTGAGTTATTGATGAGAAAATAATGCCATGCGAAAAACTTAAATAAATTTAGTAAATAAGAAATTTTCTGTTTATTTGACGGGCGGTTAATATTGGAACGCTACCATTGTGTGACGTTGTGCCACTATGAAGTGAGATATATTTGCGCAACATAGCCTTACAGTTTTTTTTTATTATAGCAGACAGTCAACATTTTATTTTATTCCAATATGCTTTAAAGCCGATGAGGACATGAAACATGCACAATAACAAACAGTTTATGCCATAAACATATACATGTATACATAATATCAAAAATCATGAAAAAGTTTGGAGAAGATCAATTTTGTTTGATAAAGTAAATACCAGCCAAATTTTTTTTAAGTAGTTACAAAATGATCATTTTCATATCAAAATTGATCTTTAAACTTACTAACTTATAGGTCTCTTGTATATACATATACTCATACATACACACATATACATGTACATACATACAAAAACATGCATTTCATGAACCATTAATGCAAAATTGTTGTATATACATTGATTTTTAAAACATAAACGCAATTACCATATGTTTATACACATATCCTAAAAAATTGAAGGTCCCGTCGTATCAATTGCGGATTACATAATTGTAAATGAAAGGAATGCAAGAATTTGCCTATCATATTCTGGCGTTTCTTCCCACAGACGCCCCAATTAAAACAATAAAGAGAGACATTAGAATTTTCTTATTTATTTCTGTTTATTATTATTACACTTGTATTAAACTAGTATTTACGAAATATATGTTAGTGTTCATCCGTGCTGTTCTACAGAACGGGAGTGATTAAAGCGACAGGAGAATGTTTCTTATTTCTGTAGAACAGCTACGGATGAATACAAACATACTTAGTGTCAAGCTGTATTTGGCTTCATTAATATTTACTTTATTTCGTCACTATAGGCCTACTTGTCCATTTTTACGAACGCGGTTCTATGTAGCACTATAAAAAACAGAAGGCTGCTATGATCATCATTGACTTGTGTTCTTCTGTGAAAACAGGATCTTTCAAATAGAACAAGCAAGCAATGATTTTCAACATATATGGCTTAAAAACATTATTTTCTGAAATATTTTTCCTTTGTTTATAAGTTTACAGGGTTTTTTTAATAACATGTAGTTATTTTTTTTTATTTTTGCTCTTGTATTTAATTTTCGACCTTTTCTTGAACACTTACATAATTTGCGTATATCAAACTATATCGAGTTATACCGAGACATGTTTAATTGTAGCGAGAAGGGTTTACATAGCGCGTTTCCGGACCATTCTATTTGAAAGACCGTGGTGAAAATTTACACAAAGAATTTTAAAGAAATACAGCGTTTACATTGGACGACAAAAAAAGCTGTGCACTAATATTATTTATTTCAGTTTCTTTATTTGGTTCTACACATTCTTTTATGTCTGGTAAACATAACTTTTCTATTATATAGAAAATCAATTAATCAGAAAAAAATGCGCCGTACGTTATCATTGATATTTTGTGCGCCATACGTTATCATTTCCAGAAAATGCCCCGATATTAATTTTCAGCGATATTATTCTAGCCAGAATGGGTATGAATGCTTAGATGGCGATATATTACAACTTTTTAAAGTCAGTGGTTTCAGTAAATATACATATATGTAAACGAAACACTGAATTTTAGAGGAGAAGCCTTACGTTACCATGATCAAACCGGTGAAAAATTCTCTCACTTCGAATCAGGTGACGCGCATTTCAGATGAAGTAAGGGACGAAACATCACGAAATAAAATCCTGTGTACCAGGAAAATAGTGGAGAAGGCTTTTATATATACCTTTACACAAGAACATCACAAATTTAAGAGAAAAACGGGAAAAACCTACTTTTGGCTGCATCCGCCATCTTGTTTGTTTTGGTAACAAACGGCGTGATTCTCCCCCGTGATTTAGTACCTGGTGCGTCTTCTGCAGGACTCTGAAAACCTATCTCCGTGCTGAAGAGTTTCTTCCTTGTCATTAACTGCATCAAAATATCTACATCCCCTAGTTCATGTAAAATGTAATGGAGGAAGTCAATATTATATCTGGTCAGAAGTCGTTTGTCCTTTAGCTTTTCGAACAGGTCGTCTGCTGTTTTGGCATCTCGTAAACAATTATCTAACAAGATGAAATACCCTATGAATGTAAAATATATACATATATACAATGATTTTTAAAACATATATATATAAATATATATATATATATTTAAAACTCTATATAATGGCGTTTGCTTATTTTTAGAATATTATTACTTTCATTGTTGATTTTTTGTTTTGTTTAATTTTGTTTCCAATATTCAAATTTACTAATGGTCTAAATCGAAAGTATTATGGATAATTAATTCTGTTCTAAAATAGAAAAAAAAATGTTGAAAACCTTTTAAACATTTTAAAATATAAATCCTCTATAACAAGAGTGTCATAATTCAAAGATGAAAGATTTATACATAATGTATTCTGTTCAATCAGAAACGTGGGGAGAATATTATTATTATCAATGAACATGTAATACATGCACATGTATTCTAAAATATGGTACTAAATAAGAAACTACCTACCTTCAAGGTTCCGTTTTAGTCTCAAAAACGTTTCGTGGTTTTGATCTAAATTACAAACGACTTCATCAAGGAAACAGTTGAAGGTCCATTCCGGTGGTATTTTTTGTGAAAAACTCATCTCAAGAATGTAACACAAAATTTTTAGAAATTTAACTTGAAAACAGTTACTATTGTTATCTAAAAAGCTAAAACATAGGTTAATGAAAATTGTGAATTTGTAAATTTTAATCCGAAACAACAATATCTGTTACATTATGACGTCAACATGTTATCATTTAAAGCTGACGGAAGATGTAATTTTATCATGCTATTTATAGCCTGTTATCTAGCATTAACCTTACTGATATAACAAGTTAATCTATTTTTAGAAGATTATTGGTATAATTAAGTCGATTGTGACAATATGTATGATATGTTTATATATATGTGTAAATACAATATTTTGTGACTCATTTGTACCAATGTCACCTTTTCGGACGCCAAACGAAAAAAGTGTATCACTAATCAGCTGTTATATCTATTTCAATTCATTTTAAATCTGTTCAGTACCATAAATTGGTAAGTCCTTACGTCTCAGACACGCATATGTATTCGAATGATAAATGTAAGATGAAAAATAATTGGAACTATGTCTACAGTCGAATGGTTATACATTTAATTAGAAGTTGATCCGTTCTACCTAAAGAATTGACCGATTGTTGACAATTTGATCCCATTGCAACAAAAATTGCTGGTCTTGGGGGTCAAATAAAACAAAACAAGTACAGAAGCAAAAATCATAACTCTTTCTCACTTCGATTTAATGTTTTCAGATCAATATATGTGTCTATTTTGAAAACTGCTTTTTAAACGAATAAAGCAGATATGTTAAATAAATGAAGAACAAAAATGAATTTTATATTAAAATAAGAGACCCGAAAAGAAATATTTGACTAAAGATCGAATCGTTTTTAAAACAAAACATACAACAAAATAATCTGGTTTTATTCTATCACATAATACATATAAATTAAATTATATGAAATAATCGAAATAAAGCAAAACACAATAATAGACGTTTTACATTTATATATTAATATTTCCGAGGTACACTAAAATGTGTTTAATAAACAATTCATAATTGTGAAGATTGTCTGAAAGTTACAATATCATTAATTATACACTTTTACAAAATATGATAAACAAGATCATCAAGGAAAGGCGGCGTTCAATGAACGCAGCCCCCACCCGACCCAGCAAAACTGTTTATCTATATGTCTATAAAAAGTCTAATACAGACAATTATCTAATAACTTTAAAGATCCTGTATGTTATAATTAAGGTTGTTACCACACTTAAGTGAAATTTTATATATGTAAGTAATAATGTTTCTAAAACAATTTTCAAAGTAAAATATATTACTGCAAATATTTGTCCACATTATATGTAATCATTAAAATATATGCATTCATTTCTTATTGAAAAAAATTTACCTAGACGTGCACTAAATGTCACACTGTCTTATAACAAATATGTTTAATGTAAAAAGGACAACTTATCTAATCTAAATTAATATGAGTATTTTTGTCATGTCGATCATCATAGATCACAATTATAAAATGACTCTCCAATTGGTCAAATAGCACAACTCGGACAAAGTTCATCAAATTATCGCTTACAGTTCAAAAAGAAGGAATCACATATATAAAATGAATGTTTGTAAGTGAAAGCATGTGTTTAGAATTGACGACGTTAATGCTATTTCAGAAGTCTTTTAGTTTTGTACAATTACATAGTATAAATTATTTTTAATTTGTTTACATTTGATACGTTTATGATTCGCTCTATTCAAGGTTTGTATAATATGTGATTTTAAAGGACTATTGGCTGAAAACAAAGGTTTACCATTTCTGAAGAAAAATAATGTCATAGGCTTATACCATGACTAATACCAAAACTACACGGTCATGCGCACTGTATGTTTGGTTTAGTTGTACGCATGCGGTAAACGCATAATTTACAAAATGTTATTGCAACAAACCCATTTATAAATCAACGTCTGATTTATCATATTAAAGATAAAAAAATCTCAATACACACATAGTGACTATAGTACTATTAAAAGAAGTTATCAGTGTACATGTATAGCAATTGAATATACTGTTACGTACATGTATAACAATACGTGTTTGATAGTCATAATACATGTATATCTACAAGTACGCAGTTACAGATTTACAGTCTTTACAGATGATACACATTAATTATTTATTATAATTGTTATTAAAGGAAGCATCACATGTTTTGGGTTGGTTAAATTGATCAGTTAATTTATATTAAATCTTATCGTTGACAGGTGTTAGAGGGAAAACTTGTAAACTTTCTTTTAGACTAGACTGCATTCCTTTTTTTAACGTTGCGATTCTTCAGTTTGCTTCTGAAATGCACCCTCATCTCTCTGAGAGACTAGTATCTCATTTGCTTTTTGCTTGTCCTCCAAACTTGCATGGATATCTAAACGTTTTGAACAATATCACATGTATTTTAAGCCACATATTTACAGCCATAAATTATATCGTTTACTATTACTTGCGTTTAAACTTTTTAAAATATTTGATTACAAAAACAAATTAACCAAATTATATAATGTGAAATTAATGTAACTGACATACGTTTTCACTGACTACTACAACTACAATTTCGCAAGAATTTCTGGATTCTGACCTCGAAAATCTTTAACATCAAGGCCAAAGTCGTGATAAAACAGGCAGTTATCACTATCTTTAATGACTAAGAAGAGCTTATCAATGAACAAGACAGATGATTTGTATCGAACCATCTCCGAAAAATTGTTCGAACTTTATGATTTGTTGACACACAATTCTGACAAATGGACTGTTCAAGTACAAGTGACACATAAAAAAAAAGAAACTTTGTACTAAATCAGGCCGCTTGATTTGTTTGAAAACCTCTTTGAACTGTATAAACACATATTCATTTTCCTCAAAGTATATGGAATTTTGAAGCAAACTGAATAATTCTCTAGATGTTGATACCGTCTGTACGTTTCCACGGACAAAATCTGTAGTCAATTATAAAAAAAAATCGGTATATTTAAATGGTTTTGGCAAATTGAATTAATATTAAATCAGAAATACAAAAAAATGAGCTTTTGTCACCACAAATCAATGGCATCAGTAACTATGTCAAAACTTCTCGTTTACCTACAGTTATTTTCGAAGACAGAATCCGATGTGTTGCTTAGCTATTGAAATCCGCAACGTCTGAGAATTGTAACGATAGCTGCTTTTTATGCATTTACATAAATTAATTTTCGAATTAAATTTCCTATTATTTACTGTAATACAATATGATTTTACATGCCTTTGACACACTTTTTTCCTTTTATATTATATAGGTAGATAGTGTACAAGATTGTCCAACGATCTAGCTGAAGTCACGGGAAATCACGAGGACAGACCAAGATCTGATCGACCCAGAGCTTCTACACAGAGGCAAGACAGGATGATGATTATGGGGTGCCTTTAACACCGAAGAAAACTGTACCTGAGCTAAGAAAATTCTGGGAAACCATCTGGTGTTAGTGCTTGATGGTACACCATATCACAGAGCCAAGATTGTGAAAACCTGTCATACTACTGATGGGGTTCGGTGCCTGGAAAACTGCCCCCTCAGTCACCAGTCTTTAATCCAATTAAAAATATGTGGCATAACATCAGTAACATCTGTCTAAAGCACAAGCAGCATCGTAACATGCAAGATTTTGCAGCAAATGTCAGGGAATGCTGGAATGTCATGACTGCTAAAAGGAGCCAAAGGCTTTTTAGAAGTGTGCCGAGGAGAATCCATGCTGTTTTAGCTGGTCGGGGTGGTCACACAAAATATTAAATCTAACTTGTGTCCAAATTTTGTTACGGTAACATGTTGTTCATGTTAAACAGAGATCCATTCTTGGAAGAAAATGTGTTAAAGTGATATGTTTAAACATATATTTCGTCCACGGTATTTAAAAAGGATTATTTGACTGGAACCATATTGTTTGATTTCATTAATCTGCCAATTGCATACAATATAATTATACGGTCAATGCCAAAATTTATTAATCTACGATAGATTGACGGTACATTCAGTAAGATGTGCGCAGTAAGATGTGATCTAATTTAATTTGTCTTCGTGTAGTAATTGTACGCATTACAGCGGAATAGGGTAAACTTCTGATTAATAATTTCTAAATGCCCTAAATATGTTGTAAGATCGAGACCTTGTAGTCTCATTTATATTTTCAGCGTTATTGAAGCTATGATTGTTAATTTATTAATTGTTATGTTTTAATATGTTTTGCTCTTATTTTGGTAAAGTCCATACTCATTTTAAATATCATTGTTTTAATATTCATTCGAATTAAAATCTATAAATGCCATTTCAATGATACAAAACGAGAAAAACAGTGTTTCTAAGTTGCTTTATATCCGTGAAGACAATTATGCAAGCACTTTAAAAAATGTAAAAAAAGAATAGGAAAAAAACAATGGCTTCAGAAGGGATCGAACCACCGATCTCTTAAATATCAGACACTTACTTAACCGACTATGCTGTTGTGGATGTGACAAAGCCAATGCATTAAGCTGGTTTTATCTTCCAAAACATTAGTTATATACTCCATATTAAATCTCTAAAACTAAAAGGACAGAACAGAAATTGTATTGAGTGCTATAATGTATTCATAATTGACAGGTCAATAAAACCAGACTATACCAGGAGTTCCGACGATGTGCTGTTATATACTGTTACAAACAACATCATGAACACATATCTGTTTTCTTCCATCACAATTTTAAATATCCAATAATTGAATACACATTTATACATCAAACTTTCATATAGAATAAAAAATAAACATTTTTTTTTTTAAATTTTTGCCAAGACTTTATCAAAAATTTATTTCTCATTAACTCCCTTTATTTACATGCCCTGTTAAATTCGATCATATCTTAGTGAAACATGCTTTTTCATAACTTATAATATTGACAGTTCTTCGCTTGAGCATCAGTTTTGTCATGCAAGACCATAAAATTATAGAGATACAGGGACTTTTTGCCGTATCACCCAGTATTTTTAGAACTGTCCAATTTTATTTAGTTAAACATAGAAATGCATCCATCAAACAACTTGCATTACAAATGATCATACATGACACTTCAACAGTCAAGTTTTATTTACATTATAACCAATTGAACAGTCCGTATCGAGGTTACAGAAAAACCTTTGATTTAAATGACAAAATAATATACTGATTCATAAATTAAAACTTTATCATTTTTCTGAAAACTCTGTACAACTTTTCCAGTCATATCTCTCTAACAGAGAGCAAATTGTAAAAGTCAACAGTGATAAATCTGAAAGCTTGCCGGTTATATCAGGTGTGCCACAGGGCTCAATCTTAGGTCCTTTACTGTGTCGTTTATAGGGAAATTAAATGTCAGTCACTACTAATTCAGGCATTGATTGATATGTATGCAGACGTTACAACATTACACATAACTGACCAACGTTTGAACAATATACAGTCTGAGTTGAAGCTAGACTACAAGAATGGTGCACTCTCAATAATTTTGGATAACAATAATTACTGTATTTAAGTTGAATTTCTAAAATTTTGGTGTGTTTTCTTTTTTCACATTTTTGAGATGAGCTTTTCACAAAATTACCACCGGAGTGGACCTTCAACCGTTTCCTTGACGAAGTCGTTTGTAATTCAGATTTAAACCACGAAACGTTTTGGGGCTATAGGAGGGAAGGGTATTTAGATTTACCCTTGTCCGTCCGTTCGTCCTTCCGTCCGTTTAGTGTCGCACGTAGCTCAAAGAGTAATTGACATAGAGTCATGAAACCTTACAAAAATGTTGATAAGCATGTGAAGTTGTACACCTGGGTATTTTCATGTGGATATATTTAGTATTTTTAGAGTTATTGCCCTTGACTTAGTAAAAATTTCCAATTTTCATCTTGTGTCGCATGTAACTCAAAAAATATTTGACCTAGAGTCATGAAACCTTTCAGAAATGTTGTGCACCTGGGTATTTTTGTGTGGAATTTTTAAGTTTTTTTAGAGTTATTGCCCTTGACTTAGTAAAATTTTCCAATTTTCAACTTGTATCGCACGTAACTCTAAAACTATTTGACCTAGAGTCATGAAACCTTACAGGAATGTTGAACAACATGTGTAGTTGTGCACCTGGGTATTTTTGTGTGTATAAAATATTAATATTTTTAGAGTTATTGCCCTTGAATAAGTAAAAATTTCCAATTTTCAATTTGTGTCGCACGTAACTAAAAGTATTCGACCTAGAGCCATGAAACCTTACAGGAATGTTGCTCAGCATGTGTAGTTATGCACCTGGGTATTTTCGTGGATATATTTTTAGTATTTTAAAGTTATTGTACTTGACTTAGTAAAAGTTTCCATTTTTAACTTGTGTTGCACGTAACTCAACAAGCTGTATGACCTGTAGGCCTGAAAGTTTACAAGAATATTAGTCAGCATGTGTACTTATGCACCTCTGGGATTTCTTGTGGATTTATATAGTATTTGTAGTATTTCAGTGCCTTCTGGGTGTCCTGCTTGTGTGTGTCCGGGGGCGATGTCCTGTGAACGTTGCCTTTGCCTTGTTGATCTTTATTCTTGTTATTTTTTGCCCTTTACTTAATAAAAGATTTTTAGTTTTCAACTTGGGCACATGTAGCCAAAAAAAATTGACATTGACAAATCGGTGGAGTGTGGGGGCACCCGTGTCCTATGGACACATTTCTAGTTTACATTTATATGGTCCTGCATCTTGTTAGATAATTGTTTACGAGACGCCATATCAGCAGACGACCTTTTCGAAAAGCTAAAGGACAAACGACTTCTGACCAGATATAATATTGACTTCCTCCATCACATTTTACATGAACTAGGGGATTCAGATATTTTGATGCAGTTAATGATAAACAAGAAAAGCTTCAGCACGGAGACATGTTTTCAGAGTCCTACAGAAGTAAACCAGGTACTTATAGTTTAAAAGCCAAAACTTACCTGTCACTTATTATTGCCTTTTTTAAATAACTGAGTATGAGTGTCCCAAGACCGGTTAGAGCCAAAATCAGAATTTTATTTTGCCTGCATTTAGATACCCATAATCACATTACGTCCGAGTTTGGCAGTGTATTTATTTATCTGTTATTTCTGCATATTTCACTATTTTTTAAACAGCGCAACAGATGCAAAAGGTGGTTCAGGCAATTGGCCAATGAGTTCTTTTAAGAAACAACAGGGCGCTTAAAATAAAAGAAAAAGGTGTCTAAGGAATAAAAATATATAACAAATCTATAATTGTATAACAAACTTACATAGATGTTCAATTTCTTTGGATATTTTGACACACGGATGTAATCAGATAGATTAATCTGAGCAGCGTTAGCTCGTCCATTCAACAGGAAATGAGAACTGATAGGAAATAATGGGATGACCAATCTCACTACTATTTATTGGTAAGGGCAATTACTACTACAAATAAAAGTATTTCAGGGGTCATAAAGAGCGTTGAAACAGTATTTTTCTCTTTTACCATTGATTCATAATCCTTTTCATTTCCAGAGAGAGGCTTTGAACATTATCGCAACATTTACCCAAAAGGAAAATGCCAGATCTTTCGACATGCCGATGCTATATGATTTTAAAGCGAACCTTTCGTCATTTCTAATGGTACCACCAGCAAAGACCGTGTCATAGGGATCGAACCTTATGATAACGACCTTAAGATAACATTTAAGATGCCAGAGATGTACGTTTATGTTTTTGAAAAATGGACGAGTGAAAATTCTTGCGATGAGGTATTGAAAAGTCTTCATATAGAAACAATACTGACGAGAAACCAAACATTCTCAAAGGAAGGTATACTTGATATGTGCTTTAAGTTATCTTTATAAGAAAAGTACATGTATAATGTTGTTCTGATAATTAAAACTAAGAATCATTTCAACAGTTGACCAAACCAACTTGACTTCTGGCATATTTTTTTTGTAAATTCCATTAATTTTGATGAAAATTTCATACCATACATATGTCATTTTAGTCATTCTGTTTATCTGGATGATATAAGAAACACCAGTCCTTAATGCGCATTTATACCTGACGCATGTGTAAGGAGCATCGGATCAGAATTAAAAAACGTAGTTTAAGCTAGTACTATTAACGTGTATCGCGTTTTGCTATATTGTCAGTATATACATTTTTATAAATGTGGATTATTTTAAGGTCAGGAAGACAAAACGCCAGAAGAGGAAAGTCAATTAAAAGCCATTACAGCTTTATACAACGACTTTCAAGAGCGATCTAAAGATTTAAATTGTGCAGAAGAATTGATACAAGAAACAGATTGACCAACTTGGGAAAATAAAATGTTTACCGGATCGTCTGCTGAAGTTACACACTAAATCTGGGATGTCTGTTACTTTATTGAAAACTCTTGTAAAAATTCGGAACGGAAAACTGGCGTCTCATTACATTCCGCTGCAAAATCATATTGATCTTAAAAACAGTTTTTACATTCTAAAATAGTTAGAATTTATCCACATGTTAAGGAACCTTTGTGCTGTAAAAAAACAACTAACTCAGACTTGAACTGTTGTCTTTTTGTCAGTTAACATCTACAGGTCATTTTTATGCATTATCTTAATTTATTATGTCAGTGCGTCAGTTTAAATACGATGAATCTACATAAACATCTGATCATTATAAGGTATGTCATTTAGATCAAAATATATTGAAATAACAGCAAATATGTTGCTTAAGATGCCATCTGTATAAGCATATTATTTATTAAAATTGAAAGAATATCATCGACAATTTTAATTTTTGCTCTTTGGTCGTAGGAAATAAGAATATTTCTTTAACTTCACCAAACGTCTTTGGGACATAAAGATGATATGTTGCCATAATAATATTACCTTTGCTTGGAGTGTAAACAATATTATACAAGTATGCATATTATAAAAACAATTCATTCTATTCAGACACCAACATTGCCCATGTAGCACGGATGTTAGCGTTGTTATAACTTTCACCCAAAAAGTATTAAATTCATGAAAAATAAATGCTTTTCTGGATCTGAAAGTGATCAGTTTGTTTTTGCCACAGGTATAGACCCAGGTTGACAATCGTATCCGGGAAGTCTGACCAAGCTCTATATTTTTGGCTGTCGCCTCTACAAAGTAGTGGCGACATAAAGAAATCATTTCTCCGCCGTCTTTCTGTCCGTCTGTCTGTCTGAATAATTTTGGCCGAGTTATAGTCCTTGAATAAAAAGGTCAACTCGACAGAAGCTTTATGGACTACTCCTCAGAAACTTGTTGTGCAATTTCAATCAGCCTTTACAGAAAAGATCAATACCAATGATTTGGGGCTGAGTTATGGCCCTTGAATGAAAAACGCGTTTTGCCCTGTAAATTATGATTTGTTTGTGTCTCCTGCTACACAGTACATCAGTAGCTGCAATATGCAATTGGCTATCATAAGGTGATACATGTGATCACTGATCGTTTTATCTTGATATACACAAACTTGATATCAGATAGTTCAAAAACTGGAAGCTGGAGAAAACCATTTGGTTAACTGTTGACTGTTAAAAATAACAACAATGACTTAGCTGAACACTTTATGCATACACGTATCAATTTGAACAAATATGTTTTCATATAATATACATTTGTTTATGTCATCAAATATATTTATAATTAAGATAAACAACATAAAAACACAAACAAAACAAAAACACACAGAAAAACACGCAAATTATCGCTTTTTTATGAAGTAATATCAAAGAAAGCAACCCATTTTGATATTTTGTAAAAACAAAATGTAAAAGCTTGATAGTGAATAAAATGCTTTGCTTTCTATCTTCCATACAAAAACTTTGTGATTGTTCAGTACACCTTCATATGTAGAAATCCTACATTTTCTTACCTTTAAAATGGCTAGGCGACGTATAGTTTTATTTGTTATTTGGCATCAAAACGGAAAATTTGAACTTATTTATTGAAAAATTCATTTCAGCAGAACATATTTTATGTTCATAAGTATTCCAAATTGGTAAAGATAACCAAAACCACTGTTCAAGACGACATAATATGTAAACATCATATTAGAAAAATCTAGTTCTATAATTATTTGAGCAATATACATCTGTAATTTCGAGCTAATTTGGCTGCTTTGACACAAATGGCTCGAGATTTCACTGTGTATTTATGATAAGGCTCTCTTTAACACGTCATCTCATGATCAGTTTTGCATTCAACACTGTTTTCACCATTCTTCTAAGATGGCTGAGTTGATGTGACGTCATTTCCTGCCACATGCTAAACAGTCGACCATTTGCTGCCATGTCCTGTAGATTATCATTTGTTTTTACCATGCGTAAAGTTGAGTTGTAAATGCTGTGAGCGGTTAAATTTTTTGATCCTTCGTCGTTAGTGATAACTACGACCGACTGGGCTAAAATACAAGAAAGCAAGTAAGAATCATTCCTAGTTTGGTTTGGATGGGAAGTAATTTAAACGATACAAACATCTTCTTTTTTGTGTTCTTGTTGTCAATTTTTATGTAGATATTGTAAACGTTTAACGCAAATAAGTTATGCATAAAAAACCAGACCGTCTGATTTATGATTTCGACATATATGTAGTAAATAGAAAGGAAATAATACTAATTACATTTTTTTTCATTAAAATAATAACATAAAAAAGGTAAGGTAAAGATAAATTTTAGTAATTTATAGGTTCTTCTTTTTTTCTCCACTTAAAAATGTAATAAAGGGTGTGCAAGGTTGAATGAACTTCATGCAAATTGCTATTCTAACAGGGTTTGCTTTGCTGAAACTTGTTTTGATTGTTACATGCTGCCTCTAAGTGTTTTTTACCCATTCGCAGGGATAAAATGAAACTAAAGTACGAAATAACAAATAAAAGTGTGGAGAAATACAAAATGAAGATGTAAGCACATACCTCCCAGTGATTTTGTGTATTTTATAGTCGTGAAAACAAGATCTTTTTCACATCCATTAATATAAAGGCCTCTAGACTCTAGATCTACCATAATTACATAAAGTTTTACATGTGGCATGTTCCTGAGATCTTCCATAGAAAATATGGCATAAAACGGCTTCATTGTGACCTTGAACCCTTCAAGATGGCGGAACATGGCTTCCGTTAATTTCAAAATGAGGCTATCCGCACATTCACGTTGAAAACAAATCACACAGACTTCATTACGTAAACCCGCCATATGCTTCGGAGTTCCAGGATTTGATGAGGTCTGTAAATGAGGCAGATGGAAACATGATATTAATATACATGTTCGTATAGTAATAGTTCAGTATATAACTAAGTTGTGTTTCTAACGTATAAAATTCGCTACAGTTTCGTTGAATTTCTTTTCCGTAGGACAAAGAATAAAGTTTTTGTATTTGGTTTAAATAATATTATTCAATTTGACAAAAGATCATTATATAAAAGACATTGACCAGATATTGGCAAAAGTTCAAAATAGTTTCATCGCTGTAACTAGTCTATTGCGTGCAGACACGTACTGTCTTCTACAAAAAGTGCTGCATGCACAAGAAAATGTATTTTACGTGTTGATGTCAGTGCTGATAGCAGATTTTAAAAGACAGATGCTCAGGATCCAAATACATGTACGATTCAATCATCAGATTGGATATCATGACTTAATGTAAGAATTACCTTTCTTTCCAATTTCGGTCGTTGGATTAGTTTATTGAGTGCAGGCTTTAAATCAATAACCGGTCCAAGGAATTCCAGAACTTTTGGTCTGAACATGCAAAACAGCTGTAGCATGACCATCAACAGAATTATCGCCCCTAGAGTCTCTGAAATGAAATAGGATCATACGTAAAAACGTTATTCCAATTAAGTATCCATATCAAGTGCATATTTAATAAGTGATACACAAGAGTATACAGGAGTATACAGGTTGGTTCCGAAAGTTATAAAAGTGGCAATATCAATTAAATAATCGATGAGATATGTAAAAGTCCCTAGTATCGGTGTAAATACCTTTTGTTGATATAATAGACCGACACTTACGCCGCAAAAGGAGTTCCAGAGCGTTTGATTACCTCCATCCTACAGTTGCAGATTATATGAACTATTCAAAACCCATGAGGGTTGTCATGGCAAGAGTACATGCTAGCAAAACTCAAAATTTAAGCATAGTAAATTGGAAATAGTGTTCAATTAAAAAACATAAACATATGTTTTTATGCGACAAATATCATGAAAGATACTAAATTGTCGCATTAAAAAGCGTTTACTCATTACTTTATACATGTCTTATATTTGTATAACACGTACCGTCTGAATCCACCCTTGAAGATAATTCTTTATACTTCAATTCTAGACTGACATACTCATGTGTTACATTATCCAGTTTTTCTAGGAATAAAGCTAGCTTTCTGTCCAAAGAACCGTAAACATCTGACTGGTCATTGATTTCACGGACTATGGTTTCACGCGCAAACACCTGTTCTTTAAACGCTATTTCTAAAAGATGCAGCCGATCTGACAGCTCCTCAAGCACGTGATTCTTGTAACAGTCTGTGATTGGTTCAGAGGTTTCATGGCTGGTTTCATGCTCATCTTGCGGCACTGCTGGAGAATACTGTGTGAAGGTGGAACCATGCAAGGAAACAAGAAAGACAATAGCCCATCTCATTGTCACTAATACTCCAATTGTTGCAAACAGAAATCTGGAAATAAAGAAAAAATATATAACAACAAAACGTTTGTTAAACTGATACATTTGAACAATATTCCACAATTGTTTGTTTAAAACATGATAACAATTGTATAAAGTGTCATCTTTTATTTTTATTTTTTTACTTTTCAAATTTTTTGTATACAAAGTGAAGGCAGTGAGATCACTTTGTAAAATACAATGACAATTTAGATAATTACGATAAAAAGATATACGAGTGAATCTTTACGTAGCCATAGAAAATAAAATAAGAATAAAAGATAGCGTGAGTGAAGTCGAAAAAGTCTTATAGTCTTATGTTGTTGTCGCCTGTTTAAATAACATCCACATAAACATATTCTCTGACCTGGCCAATTAGCCAGAAAATGTTTTGAATACTTTGTACATCACTATAAACATGAATGACTATAGATTAATCAATTCTAAATTTATTTGCACATACTTTACTGGATTGGTTCCAAATAAAACATTGGTCGAACAATAATGGAGTCATCATACGAAGTTCTGAATCCAGGGGACATCTACAAACATCTGACAAACCATTATGTTAATACACCACCAAATTCAAAATTTAGTTAAGAAAATGTATTTTAACATGACATGAATAAAGTAACTTTGCAGCATGCGAATTTTAAATTATAGAACGTTACCTACCGAAAGAAGAAAACAAGCTCGGTTATTAGTAATATTAGTAAAGTAATATTTATTCCATTGAATAATGTGGGATTTCCTGCAAACATCGTTTTCCATTATCACAAAACATTTTCCTAACAAATTCACGTATCAATACAATACAATGTCTACCTTTTATCACCTCAATAAGAATATTCGTATTATATCTCTCACTGAATCTAATATAAGTCTTCAGGTTTTATGGGACTTAATTAAAGGCGTTGACAACGATAAAGAATCATTACACGAGCACGCGACTATTGAGGTCACGTGTCATCCTGTTATACTAATAGTGTAAAGGAGACCTATTGATTTCCATCAAACTATAATGCAAACAGCAACTGCTGAACATTGATTTTTGCTTCTGTGATTTGAAAAATATAATTCCAGCGGGGAAAAAGTGTGATGTGTTACAGTTATTGAAATTGTTCATCAAACAGGCGATGAATCGTTAATTTCAGAACGTATTAAAGATGTAACATATACATTTCTTTGTACGATATATTTAGCAGTAAATTATCTGCACGTATTTTATAAAAGAACACAGTTTTTGAGTATATGAGTAATATGAATTGTGTAAATGGAAACTGGTTGACTTAAATAGAAACTGACAATTCAGATGACTTGAAATGTTGTTTTATGTCTGTATACAAATTGTAAATCTAATTGAGTGAGAAGTATCATATTCAACACCGAAACTACTATAATGATGATAACATATACGCAAAATATACATTAAAATCAAACATATGAAATTTACACTATATAAATATTAGTTTCTGGAAGAAAACTAAATGTTAATTATTTCGTATGTGCTCACTTAAAGGTACAATATTTTAAATCATGTCAACATGTCTAAAACTTACCCGACTAGTCTATACGGACTTGGTAATTTGTCCAAATGTCCATATTTGGTGATACCATTAGATACAATGCCTCTAGAAGATCCGGATGTTGTCGGACTAAGGTCCTTAATTAATGTTACCAACCATGACTTCTTCAATGATAGCTTCATTTTCTTGCTAAGAAAAGAATTCCTTTTAGCCTTTATTACCTAATTTCTGATTCAGAAAATTTCCCTCACACAAACTATATAAATTAATGCTTTAAAATAAATTCAAAACTACATTTCTACGAACATCACAGAGAAATAATACGTTCTTTTTCACTCAAAATCTATACTGATGAATCACATAAATTATGCGCAATATCAATACTTATTTACTATTAACAATAAACATTTAACACGTAGAAATCCACCAACAACATTAATAATTATAGCCAGACTAAAAAACACGAAACATAGGTTCAAATCCTAGCGCATTATAGTCTATTCCGCATTTACAGTGTCTCTAACAAACGTCTTGTTATTCTACTGTAAAACGATACATGTAAATGAACGGAAAGCGCGTGTGACAGAGTATTGAAGATAACAGATCGATATATATTGTGTTCAAGGCCGGGATGATCTGGCAAATAATTCTAGGGAATTCCGATCTACGATTCTGTAAATCGTATTAATAGCGGTACGATCAATAAGATTGGTTTCCGTCATGGCTCTTAAAGGAGCCAGGTACCAGGTTGGGTGAATGTTTTAAAAAAAGCACATGGTATTTCAATGTGAAAAAGTGTGTCTTTTGGAAAGAAAACATACTGTTCATTTACTTTATATCATCGAGGAACGTAATTTTATTTTTGATAAAGTACTTAACTGCCCATGGTACCTCTTTTCCTAAGTTGAACAAAAGTTTGTTTTGTTTCCATAACTACTTATTTCTACAATAAGTAACTTATCCCCCTTCTTTTTTAAAAAATGAAATAAGCTTTGAAACATTTTTTGAAACATTTTGGTTAAATATAATAACTTTACAAACTTAATTTTAAGAAAGTTACTATGAAAAAAAGAAACATTGACGATTTTTAAGAAGTTATTTTCAAACAGCAAATACAATATGTTAACAAAGCTTGGATAGTATAAGTTATCCCGCTTTCAACTCTATGAATTTCAGCAATGCTTCTACAATATTAAATACCGAATATAACATATCTAGTCTATATCATATAATTCATATAGAGTATTTGTATCTCCAAACCTTACCTCTGTTTTTCAGTGGTATGTAAAATCGAGCTTTGTCACGCAAAAGAAAAGAGCCCAGTTGATATTGTGCACCGTAAATCTTATCGACCGCGCAGTAATATAAACGAAAGCAGATCGCAGACCGTGCATGTCAAACAGACATCAAATATTCACGATCATTAGTCGCTATTTCTATTGATTTTAGCTAATTTAACAAGAGCATTAGAAATAAGACACTTATCACTGTTTCATTCATGCAGTTATCTGACTGGGTTCCTCTGAGCTGTCTAAGATCATGACACAAGTTACATTAAAGCTTAAGTGAAATACCTCTTGGCTTCAATGTCGCGCATTTGCATTTAGTCGGAATTGTACATATGTGATAGATAATTGTTGTAAATCGTTATTACAATTTCGCTCCAATTGATCAAATTACAGGGAGCAGAAATGATCATGTAGAATTATGATTTAAAAAGGTTTTTAAAATTATGAAATGCAACATATCTTCATGTATTTTTATGCGTGCGTGTTACGTTTTGGAAAATTTACTTCACTTTTATCCCAAATAGACGTTTTTAATTTTCAAAAAAGATTTAAAGAGTTTATTTCGAAATATATTCTTGACCGAACGTTAAAAACTTCACGTTGGTATGTTTCTGATTTTCATTTCATTTTCTAATTCAGAAATGCAATAAATGCAGGTACATTAGTAAACTTATCTAAAATAAAACATTTTCTAAAAATACAACGATTTCTACATTTTTTTTCGGTAAAGAGTATAGCTTTAGGTGTATTACAACTGCAGGTTTATACTGGGAAATTATTAGCCGAAACATCGCAATTCTATTTTTTTCCACATCTTATTACAATTTAAACAATCCTAAAGATGACGATCAAGTTTTATTTTGGTATATGTAAATATATAATTCGGAAAACATATTTTGAACGAAAATGGCATTTACTCATTGCTTAACCATATTATGAACTCATTTCACATATATACCACTTTTTCAACATTGTCATAAAATGTTTCTATGTAAATCCTATGCTTATGTCCATTATAGAACTTAAGTCAAAACAGACAAAATATTACGGTAGCTTAACATTTTCGATTTGTTTCACGATTTTTGAAAGTACGGCTTTATGGGCAATTTCTTTCAATGTATTTATGACATGTTGAAAAAAAATATCAAAAAAAATTGAGCGTTTTTAGTTTACAACCAAAGTAAATCATATTGTAAGATGTCTCAGACATATAATACTGATTTCTTTCACAATAAATATACCTTCACTTTCTACAGCAATATTTAAAAGCTAAAATATCAATCAATAATTTGACAAATTATCAGAAGACTGTGCATTTAAAAAAAAAAAACAAAAGAAGAAGAAGAAAAAAAAGAATGAATGGTGAATGCAGCAAACTTCAATTGTCACTTTTTGCTATGTTTTGATTGTTCTCAGAGGTGATCTCTTGCTCGATATTCAGCGCTGCTATCCGATGAGATATAATTCATTCCTATACCAAAGCTAAAGTAGAATTTTTTCGGAATTGGCTTAAAATAGTTAAAAAAAAAGGGAAAGAAGGGAGAGTAATATCCACAATATGATAAAACTAGTTCGGAGGATGATATCCCTTAGTTTACATATTCTAGGCTATTACAGGTACAAAATTTATATATATTGTTTTAATTTTTAAAGACAAATACGCACTGTGCTAAAACACTGGCTATATGTACATAAATCATTCTTTAATTTCGTTGATAAGTTTATATGCCATATAATTACTTTCTAAAAACTAGTTATATCTGATAGTGTTAGATTTATGTTATGTAGGAGTCCTGTGCTAAATCCATGGGCACAAGATGCATGCCTTTTTTATACGAATACATTGCAGGTACACCTTTTAAATGGAAATTCTCATAAACATTATTACACATTGTCACTCAAAATTAAATTTAAAAAACAAAAACATATAGATTACGAATGATAGTTTGTACTCCGTTGGACCACCATAGCAATAAGCAATTTGAACGTTAAACTAATTAGTTTTGGATTATCTAGAAAACACATATTCCCTGTTGAAGAATTCAAGGTTAAAACGCATGATTTGTCGCTGTAAACAATGTATTTATCTCAAACCTGTCCTAGATTAATAGTATATGATATCGATGAAATGTCAAGGTCATAGAAGTGTAATGCGATTGCTGCTGAGGGCAAGAAAATAATTAGAACCTGGAGATAATAGAATTGTCTTAGATTACTGTGTAAATAACCAATAGTGACAATAAAAAATTGTCGACTGACTTCAGACCTAAAATAGTCACGTGATCGGTTACTTATACTAAAATTTGACACTTACTTTAATATGGTGTAACTATATGCTGTAGTTATCAAAAGAAACTTCATTAACTTATAAATTCATGATAAATAGGTTCATATAACATCTCTTGTTGACAACTGAAATGATTTTAAAACAAACAAATAATCAGCTTGTTTATTAACAGACGATTATAAACATACAGTAAACGGGAACATCTTTACTATATGTGTAATAATTGTCACCAGTCTAATATGGTATATGATGTCTGTATTTGAAATTCAATTTTTGAACAAACAGCGACAATGCAGTATTTTTTACTTGACAAAATACTGATGTGCAAGAAGTTTAGGAACAACAATGTTTTAATTCGACAAATGATAATATTTCCATACTGACGACCGCTGACTTCCAAATCATAAGACAATTAAAACAACAAAATGTGGACTCTCCCGATTTATTATTCGACCGTAAGTACTTGTGTACTGTCGACTTCTTTGCAATTGCTGTTAATGAGGCTCGGAGCTTATATACGTGAATAATGAGGCAAACCATACATTTTTGTTTCTATTGTTCAAAAAAGGTTAATAAATTAGAATAGTCAAAGACTGTTGAATTAACAAGGTTAACAAGGTTCTTAAAGTAGGTTGTAATTTGATTCATCAAATTAAAGTTAATAGGAAAATTGACATGGTTAATCGTTAATAAATCGTTTGATGATTTAAACTTACTATCTATATATTAGAAAATGAAAACTGAACGAGAATTTTAAGCTGCCTTATTAGTACAGAATAAGGTTTGTGCTACAGGGACTTTGATTTTTATTAGTAAGAGCTAAAATTGTCACCATTGTCTAGTATTTATGGATTACGATATCAAGTTACGAACGTTTCTGCTAATGTGCTATAACTTTTTTTACAGATAGTACAATAAGTATCGTAATTGCATATCGTTTCAAATTTATATAAATTTATATAAATCAATTATCGATGACAATTGAAATCGAGATATAGAGTTGTAGTGAGAACCACCGTGTGTTATAGTAATTACGTGGCAAAAAAGCACAGTTAAGCTTTTATTTGTGTTTTTCACTTTTAATCTTATTGACCATCTACCAATCAATGTATTCATAGACGAAGACACTTCAGGCTTCACATTAAAATGAAAGAGTGTGCAAGTATTTTAAATTTTCTCTTTTAAATAATTGATCAGTTGTTCTGACTTTGCTTTGATACCAATATATTTTTCCTACGCTGTTTCTAGTCTACAAAATAATTGAATGTCTGGTTGGTCTCTAAAATAAGAGAAAATGTGCTAACTCGAATATAAGTTTTATCGAGGTGAGCCGGTGTAGTCTGAAAAGACCGAATAATATCTTATTTAATTTTTTAGTTTTAGTTTGTTTCCTGGATGAAACAAAAGACACTGCCATTCAACCATGGCCAACACATATTAAAAGGCAAAAGAACGATGATTTTGATGAATTAATTCTTGACCAGAAACCTTGAATGTGTAAGCGGTTATAAAATACATTAGATCGTATATTCACCAATACTTATCTAGATTGTTCTACAATAAGGAAGTATCAACTATGCTATAATAAAAACAAAGATCACAACTTGCTTTTGAAAGTCAAAACAAGGCTGAAATTATAGTTACA